CTTTCATATATTATAGAGTTTGTTTTTACCCTCACCCCAAGAGCCAAGGTCATGGAAAAAGCAATGTTCTTCCCTATGTGTTATGGTTTAACCTCAGCTGTCAACTAAGCACCGCACAGCTGCGTGCTCACCTCCCCCGTCCCAATGAGATGGGGGGAGAGAATCAGAAGAGTGAAAGTGAGAAAGCTCATGGGTTGAGATAAAGACAGATTAACAGGTAAAGTAAAAGCTGTGTGCACAAGCAAAGCAAAACAAGGGTTTCATTCACCACTTCCCGTCGGCAGGCAGGTGTTCAACCATCTCCAGGAAAGCCGGGCTCCATGATGCGTAACTGTTACTTAGGAAGACAAATGCCATCACTCCAAATGTCCCAACTCCTTCCTACTTCTTCCCCCAGCTTTATATGTTGAGCATGATGTCATATGGTCTGGGATATCCCTTTGGTCAGTCATTGTCAGCTGTCCCAGCTGTGTCCCCTCCCAACTTCTTCTGCACCCCCAGCCTCCTTGCTGGTGGGGTGGTGTGAGAAGCAGAAAAGGCCCTGACTCTGTGTAAGCACTGCTCAGTGATAACTGAGACATTAGTGTGTTATGAACATTCTCCTCACCTGAAATCCAAAACAGAGTATTATGCCAGATACTAGGCAGAAAAGTAACTCTATCCCAGCTGAAACCAGGACACAAGAGTGGTGCTTTCATCCTGTACCATCACCAGTTCATACTTAGGCTGGTTTCAGTTGTTCCCCATCTATCAGTACCATCCAGACCAGTGTAAAGGCTCATCCCATCGGGTAGCAGTGACTGAACAGAGTGACTGTGGCTCCTTCCAGGCAGGTTAAGTCTCCTTGAGCCTCAGAGTAAGTAATGAACCGTGTGTCTCTACCAAGGAGAACGTAAACCTGAGATGAGGCCTCTGTGGTTTTCTTACACTGGCTGAGGTGGCATTTGTGTCAGCCGGGGCAGTGTCATGTCCTGGAGCTGCACGTGGCTTCAAACAGCAATTTTCAGTGGTGGCCTGAGAGCTAAACACCCTGCTGCTACTGACACTGCCACTCATTTTCTGTTCAGTTGATAACACTTTTCTCAGTAAAACAACTCATCAGCCCTTTGCTTTCTGAGTGCCAGCAAAGTCAGTGGTTCCCCAGCCACCTGCTAAAACTTTTGGCTGTGTCCATGAGAGCCAGATGGGGTTTTTGGTTTGTTTTGTTTTTGTGGTTTTTTTTCCCCACTACAAAACCTAGAAGCAAGCTAAGAAGTCAGTGCAGTGCAATACCAAAACTTCACATTACACAACAAGACACCCTTCTTCTTCTGTTTTTTTTTTTTTCTTTTTTCCGCCCCCCCCAGGTTAAAAGCCAGCACAGAAGCCTCTCTCTTCAAGAGCGTATGGGTGGAGTGTGGAAATTGGGTTATGTATCCTCTGGGCTGTGCAGGACCTTGAATGAGGAATGACCCTTGCTGTTCCCTCCTGCGTGTCTTAGTCAGCTTTTGTGCAGTAGGGGACAAGAAGAAATACCCAAAGTTGGTCACTGGATGCTGCGATACAAAGGCTGCCGCCATGGACTGATCGATGAGCCAGAACAGTTGTGTTATGGCAGCTTTCCCAGCAAGAAGAAGGAAAGCCCTGGTCTGAGCTGGGGTGGCCAGTGTACCTGTCCCCCCCCACACCACCCTGCAGCTCCTGACATCCATCCTCCTCTTCTCCTCCAGGCAGATGGTGATCCTCAGCCACAACCAATGATGACTTTAAAATCAGTCCCTTCAGCTACGGCTCCTGCCTCTTACTATTTTTTAAGGAAGATTTGTAAGTACGTTTCCAAGTAGCTCTTCTCCCCCTAAACCTGTGTAAGTTGGGCAGCATGTCAGGCCTGTTTGGGCAGATGCAATCTGATCCCAGGAATCATCCTCGAGAACATCCGAGCTGTGGTTGAACATCTCTCATGCAGCCATCAGCCTGACACTTGAGAGCCCCACAGCTTTCTGGAGCCAGCTGCGCAGGCCTGTGTATTGCCACCATTACTTGGACACAAGGCCACTGAAGATGATAGCCTTTATTTGTGGCACTCTCCCTGCCCTGCCCAGCGTGATGGCATCCCTTTTTCTGCTGTAAGAAATGCCCCCAGCTTAGACTTTCAAAATTCTTTTCACTCTGGGACCGTGTTTTTAAAATGTGGATGATGGAGTGCTTCTTCCCTCCCATTTTTCCTGCAGGGAGCAGGAGGGTGGTGGCAGGATCCCGGCCGAGTGGGAAGCAGGTTCCCCCAGCCAGCGGGAGTGGGGCCAGGGACGACCACGTGCGGTCAGTGGCTCTTTGTGGGAGCCTTCACGCGCGGCAGGACTCGGGTGAGCTTACCCCCCGGCATGGGGCTCTTTCAGTTAGGTGGGAGCCTGTCTTTTTCAGGCCGAGACGGTGGTGAAACCTGATGCAGGGTGGGGTGTGGGTGGCTGAGGGATGCTGATTGTTTTCCCTTTATATGGAAGGTAAAGGTAGACTGGCAATCCACGTTAGAAGATACGGCAGCTTACCCAGTAAAACTACACGCACAGACAGAACTATCTTCTTTATTATAAAGATACACTATGAGGAACAAACCTGAATGTATACTGAAGCTTGTAATGGTACATGCCAAAAATGTACAGTACTATACATAAAAGTGCATTGTCACAACAGATTAATAACAGTACATTTCTCTTCCAGAACTGTGAAATTTCCATGTTTTTATTTGTTCTTTGAGAGTGGAAGGAATGCAATGGGAATGCAGCCGTACACAAACAGGGAGGGATGCAATGGAAATGCAACAGTACAAGAGCAAGGCTAAAGCTCCTCTAAAATTTAAAGGCACTTTCACATGTACATACTACAGATGTACATTGACACAATTAGGTAACAGTCAACAAGCAGGAAGCTACCAGTACTGCAATTTATCAAACTTGACAGTAAAGGACAATACTGATTGGATTAGGTGGGCAGGAGTTACCCTCTAGTATGTCTGTAGTTGTAGCAGTCTTTCCTGTTACATATCCACTTACTATACTTTTAAGTATCTATAATAACCATCAAACTACACATTTAACTGTGTGAATGCACTAAGTAGATGCACTCACTAAATGCACTGTTTCTAATATTTTCTTTTGCTAAACAATTTCTAATATAAGCATTATGGAGTCCAGTACAGTTATTTAAACATACAAAATTCCCTATGCAATTTAAAGATACAGGTATCCATCTCAATTATGCCAGGTGGGTTAGACTAAAACTGCACGTAAATGAAAGCTGAAATTCCAGTTTGTTCCACTGATTCTAGTAAACTGGGGAACTACTTGAAAATATCTCTGGTCCCAACCAAGTGAACAGACCCTGTAGACCAGCGCTGGTTTGCAGCTGGGGCTCTTGCCCTGGCACTAGGACTAGGCAGCACAGTCGAGAGGACCGGAGGTTCATTGACTGACACTGCACAGTCCGCTGTGGTGGATCAAGACTTTGCCTCTAACCTAGACGTGCCTGAAGCCTGTGGCTGGTTTGAGGTGGGTTTGCAAATAGCAGGAGCAGTTTGGCTCTCAGAGGCGGTTCACGGGGAACTTTTCACAGCTGGGGCTCTGCGTTACCTATCTACAGGGTGTAAACCAGAGCAGGAATAAGTTGCTCCGAAAGAGCAGCTGTAAATTACTCCTGTCTCCTCAGTAATTACACTTATCAAATTTTGTCACTACTCTTCACCTTCCAAACTCAATTGTTTATGTATAGCAAGTAGTACAACTTCAAACTTTCCAACGGTGAGATCTTATACATGGAAAGATCTTACTTAAAGCCAGTTGTATTCCTGTAGGTGGACCACAACAGACTTTCTTCCCCCCCATTTCTTCACTGAAACTTATTTTATGGATTGGATGTTGGAAAATATATTCATGGAAATAATATTATGGCTTACTGTTGCGATGTGCAAAACAGCTGTACATTTAATTCACGTCTAAGAAAGTTTAACAACAGAGCGCTAAGCAAAGTTGACCATCTTCACTCACACAGACATAAGAAAAGTACTGATTTCTGTCATTAAAAAAAAGGGGGGGGAAGGGGGAAAAAAGTGGTTATGGAAAACTTTTGTCAGCTTGAATCTAGGCGATAGAAACTCAGCTGCCTGTCCTGTGAGTGACCCCTGCATCGCTGGCAGGAGGTAGTCCCTCTTCAGAGTCCCTGTCTTGCTGTCATCAGCATAACCGAGGACGAGCCCAGAGCGTTTGCGCTGTGCGAGGCAGGCAGCAGAGCTAGGTCAGCTTGAAACTCCGACTGTTACAGCTCAAACCACGTCTTTAATTGGACACTGAGCAATAAAGTCAATGGGATACTTTGCTGAATTACTGTGTAGTTGATCTTTTAATCGCCTATCAGCCAACCTAATGGACCAGCAGGTTCACGTACTCCCCAGAGCCTGGATTGCTCAACTATGACCTTTAAATGAATTTAGCTTTTGTGAAAAATGTGGTATCAGGGAATGAAGGTCTAGCTTCATGGGAAAAGGTACACTGTTACAGAGGACAGGAAAAGGAGTTTCTGGAGATGTGCTTTAGCTATGACCTAGGACGCTGCTTTTTTATCAGTGAGAGCAATGTGATCTCCAGATCCACCCAGCACTTGTCTCTCACGAGACTGACAATAAGAAAGCTAGTTGTGAGAGTTGTGAGGGCTCGGTGGGGTTTTATTTGGTGTGTCTTAAATAAGAAATGTGGCCTGAGATGACTTAGACATTCCACACAGACACTTAATCCTCATATCCTAGATTTCAGCTCTTACTAACCTGCTTGAGATTTGGTTTGGTGACCTAGAAATGAGAGGTCCCACCTCCCCTGACCTCCCCATCCCTTAGTTTTGTGCAGGATCTGTTATTATATAGCTACAGTAAGACTGTGAAGTGTGGTACAACGTGGAAAGTTGCTTGTGATCCATGTTGTTTTTGTTACAAATGGTGCAGCATCAAGTTTTCAAGTAAGTCTATGTTTGTTTTTTAAAATGATGCACAATTGTCCAGTTTTTCTTTTAATTGAAACCATACAAAATACAAATGCCCATGTTAATGTAGCTAGTTTCAGACTATACATTCAAACACACTGAAAAACAAAGCCTCTCCAGTCACGAACATGAACAAACGCTGTTATGGAGTCCTGACTTCTATCGTTAATCCATCCTTTTCCCTTGCATAGCCCAGCTGGGCACTGTGGGTGGCTGAGCTGTCTACATTGTGCAAGATTTGTCGGCTGGACCCTGGGAAGGAGGGGAAGGCCCTATGCTAGGATTTGTTTTTGGAAGAACAATAGGTTTTGGCCTAAGAGCTGGAGGTTTCAGCTGCACTCCCATTCTAGGGGCCACCATGGGCTTGAAAGTACTCATGGTGTCACTGGAAGAACTAGTGCTACGGCGGATCTGAGGCTCGGAGCTCCTTAAAACAACGCTGTGGAGAGGGCTGAGTGACTCCGTGGAGGTGGCAGGGGTGGGGGTGTTTTTCACTTGTTCCAAGGTGTCCAGCACGACATCGGGGGCATGCTTTGCCGAGCTCTGCCGCTCCAGCTCACGGAGCTCGTTCAGCGCCGTGTTCATCGTCTCCTCAATGTCCTGGGTCAGAGCACAGAGAGAGTGGCACGTCATTTGAATTGCTACTGAATGCAAAGCGCTGGAGGAGCAGGGGGAGGGAGTGAAAAATGCATGAGTTAATTTGTCAACCATCCTCTCTTTAATGCATATTGTAGTGCTAAAGCCAACTGCCACCAGATTTACTTGAAAGACACTACAATTGACAAGATAGCAGCTTTGGCTGGACATTACCAATATTTAACCTATTCACAGGAGAGAGTAAAAATTCAGCTAAAGAAATTTTAAAAAATCAATTTAACTAAATCCTGCAAGCCATTTTATTAAGTGATTGTCAGGACAATGGATATTTGCTCAGCAGCATTTTTAACTGTGAAGATTTCTGCCATCTCTTGGGTACTGACAGCTGTAAAGATTTTAGTCCATTTGCTGCCCCTTAGCTGGCTGCTCCCCTCATCTAGTGCACCAGGTGTTCAGGATCTGTATTCCTTCACGGGGATTATAAACCAGCATTTGTAAGGAAATAAAGCTTGTGTGTCTGTCAGCTCTTCTCTCCTCCTCTTTCTCAAAGTTAAAGTTTAAGCAGAAAAATACAAGACATTGTTCAGTAAGCTTACCTAAGAAATTATTTTTTTCATCAGCATTTCTGGCACAAATTTTAAAAGAATGCACCAAGATACTAGTTTACTATTTATCAGTGGTATTGAGATACAACTGAGGTTGAGTATCTTTTGTTCCCTGCTTGCTCACAGTAAATTTCATGCAGTTTAATCAAAGTTTGGTCCTCTCACTGCCAAATGATCACTAGTCTATGCATCAAAAAAAAAAAAAAAGCTTAAACCAAACAGCACTGAGTGTGGTTCCAGGAAATTCATAAAGTAACTTGTACAGTAAAAAGATTTACACTTTCTAACTCTGCAATACACGATTCAGCTTTCTGACCCAAGCATGACAGTCCCTTCTATCCCTTCTTGGAAGCAGTTTGAAAGGAAGCATCACCAGTACATTAAATTTTAAAACATGAGTGCCAGTGTTATTGCAAAATACTTTTGCAATCATATTGTACCCTCAGGGTGCCCCTAGTAATCATGTTATACTATCTAGACAAAACCCGAGTTCTGAAGACAGCGGTATCTATTTGCTCAAGAGCTGTTACCAGCTCTGTACAACAGACCAATTTGATGATCAGGGTGCTCCCCATTCCATCCTTCTGACCTCTTCACTGTCAGGAATGAGACTGATGAGCACTCACACAGGGACAAGATGGCCCATGAGTTATTTGTCTTGCACATCATGCTCTTAGGCACAACTAAAAGCACCAAATCAGCATACAGTATGAACTATATGAAAGCTATGTAAAATCCACTAGACCCTGGAATGTAAATCTGTGCTTTGAATGGCACTGGTCACTACTAGCCAGTCAGAGCACTTTTCTGCAAAGCAAAATACTGAGCAATAATTGAACACTAATTACAAGCAAGTTAGAATAGGCCAGCCTTCACCAGAGCACACAGACTAACAGAGCTGTTGTAATCACACCCTATCCTACTGTGCTGGGTGGCAGAGGCAACTTCATTATGGTATAACAGGAAATAATTTCCTTATATTGCTACTGCAATGTCTGTTCCCCCTTGTGCTTCTTCTATCCAGGATCCTTTAATGCATCTTCTTTCACATACACTCTGTTTAAAAAGCTTGTAGGATATTTTGCTGCATGCACACTCCTACCAGTGTATGTGCTCTGCGCTGGGCTGTTCACCGAGACTTGCTCCTCGGAAAATCAGAGAGTGATATAAAATAAAAAAGATACAAACCTGAGCTATTGACTCCGGGTCCAGTGGTTTATGGTCATTAAAACCTGTGTACTGACCAGATGATGTAGATCTTCTAATTGGAGGGCTATCAATCTTCTTTAGAGAATCATGCCTACTGATGTTAGTGAGACTGCCATGTCCAGGTCTTCGTCTCCTTTCAGGGCTGTCAGCATTGAGGTTCCGATTTTGAAGAAGGGCTCTGGGACTGCAGTGAGTTGCCAGGTTGGGGGAACCTAGCTCCACAGATGAGCTGGAGAGAGGGTGGGGTGGGTGTACTGGGCAGTGACCATCACTGCTCCTGCCAGGGCGTCTTAGAGGAGGTGGAGGTTCTGATCTCTTTCTTTGCCTGCGCCAATGAAGAAATGGTGATAGGACAAGTTGTAGTGACCCACCACAAGCATGTGGAGAAGTAATTGCTGTGTTACTCCATATGTGAGCAGCACTACTGAAAACATGTTACGCTCAAGCTTACCTTCCTAAATACACGTCAGAGTGACGGTCAGTGGGAGAGTTCATGTCCTTTGATGATGACTTGTCTTCGGTTATGGGTCCGCTGCTGGCCTCACTGTCTGCTTTTTGGCTCATTGTATCTGAGAAAGTATCATCCCTGAGCAGAACACACATGGTGAGATAAGAAGTCAGTGAGTGAGGCGTGACAGAGAGCATCTTGGCACTCCTATATTTTAATCCCCTTAAGAAAAGCAGGCATGTTATAATGCACTGCAGCCCCTCCATGTCTCCAAAATTGCTTATAATCCTTCTGCTTACTGTCTTTTACATTTTGACTGTAACCTTTTTGTAAACAAGAACTTTGTTATCCTTGGCAAAGCACGTGCTCAATACTGTAAAACAAGAGTTCAGGGCTGCATTTCTTCAACCCTTGCTATTCTGAAGTTAAATGTCAGCAACTGCTACAAAGGGATAGTTAATTAAAATATGTGCAGCAGCATCTGTCTCTTAATGTACTGGGAACATGTCCATAAACAGAGTAGCTTTGATTAGTAGTAGCTCTTGATTAAGAGCTGTCAATTCAGAGCAATAAAGACAGAGGTATCCTGCATAGAAGGCTCATGTTTAATATATCTGAGGCCTCAAACCACTGTCCCATTTGGAAATTACTTTGTTAATTGCTTCAGCATTTTTTTACACCCCACCAAGAACCCAGTCACACCAGACACTGCTTACATATCCTGCACCACTATGTACTGGTGAGGGACAAGGCCATCAATTCCGTTGTGTCTTCCTTCCCACCAGTCTTCAGATGCTCGGTGATAGAGCAGAAGGGAAGCTCCTTTCTTGAAAGAGAGTTCTCGTGCAGATCTTCCAACATAGTCAAACTTGGCTATAGCTTCTATGGGCTCACACTCTGGATAGGGAGGGAAGAATAATGGATATCAGATTCCACACCAGCTTATCTGCTCATTTTGGTTTCATAAAACCCATTAATTGCGTTTTCTCAGTGTTCATTCTTATGGAGCAGAGCTGACAGAAATTAGGTTGACTAAGGCAGACTTCAGGCAGTAGTTATAATATCTCCCTTACAAAGAAACATAATGAATCTGTGCCCTAAGAGTGAAACACCTGGGTTGCTTTGCAAACTGCAGAAGACATAACTGCATACTCAGACGTCACGATAGCCGCTGCTGGGAGAGAGGCCTCGGCTCCGGCTGCACGGGCTTCTTCATGGCTGGGGAGTGGGATGGAGGCCAGGCAATAAGGACCTCCAAAAATAAGATGAACACACCCAGATGAATAATCAGAGGTCTGAGGAAGCAGTGTGATAAAGGAAAGGTGTTTTTAACATCTGCAGTGGCAAAGAAAGGAAGACAGGACTTCCCTATGCATGAGTAGGGATGCTCTGCCCAACTGGGCTATGAGATTTCTGTATTTTACACGACAAGTGTGCAGGCCTAGTGAAAGCCTAGTGTTTTACACCACACCGTAGCCTAGTGCTTTAATCTGTTTCCTTAACACCCTTTTTGAGCGAGGCAGATGGCTCCAGAACGCCTAACCTGGGTGGCCTGACATTGCCTAAGGCAGCTCTGCCTGCTCCAACATCCCCAGTTCCTCTGGTTTCTGCAGGAAAGTCTGGTATTTTCTGAAGTCAAACATTATTTACAGTCTTCCTGGCTAATCTTCCTCAGTATTCTGGTGAATTCAGCCTTACACTGGCAATGGACTCCATCCTGTAACCTATGGTTGGGTCAGAAATCTACTGATGTCAGTGAAGGGCCCCTGCTGAATGTCTGCCTGCAGGTATCTTCAGAGCTGTGCCCAGACACCAGTGAAACAGCTGTGATTTTAACAACCTCTAGTTTCTTCTGCACAAAACCAAAAGCACCTGAGCTCAAACAGATTAAAATTTGTCACCACAGTCTCAAAATATAAAGAAAAACCTGAAAAATACAGCTTTAAAAATCACACACTTTGCTGACTCCAAAAACTCAGAGTCCCTGAAATGACAAATCTCTATACATAATTAGAACAATATTTAGATGAAAATTAACAACTTGGCTAATGACTAGCAAAGCAACTTCCTGCCTGGTGCAAATTAAAATTGCTGAGGTTGTAATTCCCCAAAGAACCAGGTTGGTAATAAAAGCCACTGTCCCTTTATGACAACATTTTGCACAGGAATGTCCTTTTAAAATTAACTTCATCCTGCAGCATGAAAAATAATGATAGCACCTTTATTGAGGTTATAGTTTGCCGCTGTTTTTTTTAATGACTTGCCCAGCCTGCAGAAGGCTGTCTTGTGGTTTGCTGCTTCTTGCAGTCATGCTAAGAGCTCCCGTCAGTGATGAACTGCAGGGTGTTTAGGAGTTACAAACCCAGAAATTTTCCAGAGATGGCATACAGTGCTATAGGGATTACACTGTTACAAATGCAAAAGTAATGCACACTGGCAGAAATTACTTTGATTACATAAATGCAAGTAAGAATGTACCAACAACAGTATTAATTCCTGAAAACGCATTGCTACTGGATGGCTTGCTGGCAGGCATTTCCTGGGGGAAGGTGAGGAGTGATAGGTTTCTTTGTTTTATGTTTTTAAGCAAAGAAAATGTAAAGATGACACAGAAAGAAACATACTGGAAAACTGGGAAAACTTTAATGCTGGTGTATATATTAGTGATATATTCTAATATACAAGCTTGTTTTAATTTCTAGGTATTCTATCTACAGTATATCTCTAACAGTAAGTACAGATGTGACAAAGCGACTATAAGCACTATTGCCATCTGAAAAGAAATAAAACTAAACATGCCAGTTTATCTTGCATGGTGTTTAAGAGGGCAATATCAAACCAAACAGCAATAACGTAACACTGACCAAAGAATGCTGTTTTTACACATATCGTGCGTGTTGCTTGTGGAATTTTTTGTAAGAAGTTATTACTGGGATCAGGTAGGATTGAAAAGGAGCAGACATTTGTATGAACACATCATTCTCAGATTGCAGGTAAGTCATGGGTTATGGAAGAGTGGGTCAAGAATTCAAAAACAAAAGCTCCCAGGTTTCAGTGAGCCAGTTGCTCACTAATGGGTAATACTTTAAAATGCAAACAAAACCACAACCAAACAAAAAACCTCTACAATAAGAAAACCCCAAATTTCCTGTCCATGTTTTCCTCTGATGTTCTCTGAAGTTAACTGATAACAGTCATGGGTACTGGATTGATTGATAAACCCCCTACACTGATTAGCTATGGGATTTCCCATTCCTCTGCTAATTTCAACAGAGCATATAGTATCCTACATTTGATTATACAGGTCTTTTTATTTACAAATTATTTGACTAAACTAGAAATAATTCTATCTCCCTCAATGGAATTACACTTATCTAAGTGTGGTGCATGGTGGGAAATTGTTTTTTGTATCCTTCCATCGCCTGCAAGACTCACATATGTTCCTAGAGGTCTGAAGGAAGTCGCCCCACTGGAACCAGCTGAATAAACTGGTAATGTACTCATAATGGATGTGATTTCTGAGACATGTTCATTAGATTGCCTGGGTAACAAATCCTACCTCCTCAGGGAGGAGTGCCCAGCAGATCTCACACAGTTTTCTTAACAGAACCAAAAATAAGTTCAGATAGGTTTTAGTATTTTGAAAGGGGCATTTTCTTTGCTTGAATGTTGCGTTTACATGGAGATAACTTTCCTATAGCAAACAGTACTGAGACTGTATTTAAACAATAATTCACCTTGTTACAAGTCAAGCCTTAATAGTTAAAACCAAAGTACCATGACAGTTACTCCTAGAAATAAATGCATTTTGAAAAGCTAAGCCATTTAGTATCAAGGTTACTGAATGACAGACAAGCATTTCCAGAAAAGCAAAGGTGATGAAAGCTAAATTTGGGATCTGTAACTCAAATTCTGTGTGTCTAACAGTAAAATTGACAGCTTGGAGGGAAATGTAATTGCATTGCTCTGTCCATACCTGGGGGCATTCGCCTACAATAGCAAGAAGTATTTGATGACATATAGCATCTCACCAGCTATCGCCTCTAGTGACTCAGGCAATGATATAGAAGCGAAAAATAAGGACAAACTGAAGAACTGTGGGAAAAGCTTTAGAGACTCTGTTAATCATCCAGCTCTGCTTTCACGTTTTTACTTATGATCCTCAAAGTTTATTATGTATACTACCACCATTTGATGACACATTATGTTGCAGAGCGCTTAAAAATGTAGGTTTGATGCCAAGTAGAGCTGTCCAGATCCAGCAGCTTGGGAGAGCAGAAAGGGCAGAGGAAATGTAAGTGCTAAATTTAATTTTGGGATTGGAGTGCCAGATGTAGTACTAACCTCCCTACAGAGGTGATGGCACTGAAGTGTCAGCATGCTGCCCTCTATGCCTCAGGGCACAAGGAGCTAAGGAAAAGAGGGGAGACCATGCCCTGCTCTTTTGGGAAGGGTTTGCTGTTTGCTCTGGTCTGCTCTACCTCAGTTCTCCCAGACATACCCTGGAATAAAGTACATCCTTGAATTCCCTGGGAAGATACTATCTCCTGTTGTGTTTATACTCTTCTGCACCCCATCAGAGAACAGTAGCTTTGCAATTTCAAAGTTGTGTCCTCAGGACAGCAGTTCTCTGACTGGGGAACAGCAAAAGCAAATAAATGATGCAAGGTGTTGGCAGAACAGAATTTGGCAAAATATCAATCACAGCACGCACTACTGAAAATTACTACGTTTGGGGACACAACAATAACTTACAGCCTTATATGTCCCTGTAATTTTTGTTTCCAGCAGAACTACCATCTAAATTTTTACCCTCTGTTTATGAGGTATCTATGAACAGTATTATATTAATTGTATGTATGTTTTCCTATCTGTTTAACTTCCTCAGGAAATTCTCCCTTACTTCCGTTGAAAACAAACCTTGTCACCGTTTTCCATATGCCTCCAACAAGAATAAAAAATCTCCAGCAAACTCAGGGTAAAAAAAATATGCTAAAAAACTGCTTCAGAAAAACATGAACAATATCCTTTCAATCTTTACTGCAGAGGCACTTTCAGGTAAAGGTTTTTCTGCAGCAAAATCAGATAGGTTTTTTTTTTGTGTGCCTCAGCTTGAGTACAAATGTTCTGAACTTCACAAATTAAATTTAATTTCCAGATTTAGGAGAAAGAAGAAATGTATGTGTTTTCCTTAAGAGGGATACCTTCTGCTCATTTTCAAAAGACTGAAAACACTACAGTAAAATGCATGTCCTTCCCTCTTCCCTTTCCAGTGATCAACAGAAATATATGAACACCAGCAACCTTGGAAAAAAAGAAAAAGCAATTTATATGCTTAAAATTAAGCAGTTATGAATATTTATATGCTCAATTATAAGTTCCAGCCTTCTTTTCCCCAAGCTACTAGATTTTACCTCTGCAGGCATAATTTATTTTTTAATTTTTAAAAAGTCTTGTTGTTTTCTAAATGGTAATTATATGTTCCTAGTGCTACTGAGCCAGCCCCTACAGATGGCTTTATTCTAGTAGGCACAGAGAGATTTACCTATAGTTTAACTTTATACAGCAAATAATTCTTATAATGACAATAACTAAAGTAGAAAAATCCTTTTGCTTTTGGTCACAGCCTCTGTATTGTGTTTCAATAACCCTGTAGTTCCTATGGGGTTCGCTGCTTGGTCTTGTGTACATATAACAACATTTTAGCATAAAACTAATCAGATTTTCAACATTTTAAAAATTATATTTATGGAATCTGCTTCTTCCATATCCTAACAGAGGGAAATATGCAAGTACCATGTGTCTGATCAACACAGCAGTAATGCTGCACCTCCCTTTCTCTTTCTCCACATACAGCTGGCAGTGATGCATACAGCTTATAATCAATGAATCAATCACATTAAACCCCCCAAATACTCCAGACTCTTTAGTGGAAACTCTTTTTGTCCACCACAGGTCAATCAGTGACTCTTACAAAGTTCAATATGGAAACTGAAAAATTCTCACCTACTCTCATATTTGGTACCAAGAACATTTGATAAAAGGAATTGTCCAAAGGACAAATGAATGTATGTGCAAAGAGATGGAGAATGCATTTAATTTAAAGCCTATAACCTACATTAGAAGAATGTGCTATTATAATGGAAAGACATATACATGGAAAAAAAATGGGTTGCAGGCCGAGAAATGAAGGCCAACAGCATTTTGTACGCAGTGCAGGCTTACTAATCTTTATCTTTGTGGAAGTATTTCCCTAAATTACAAATATTTTTGTGCTAACAATTATTTTGCTGTAAACACAAATGTCTGCTTCCTTTTGGCACTGAATTAATTAAAAAGGTGTGATGGGCCAACTAGAATTAAATTGCTGGCCAATCTGGAGAACAAAAAGCCACATCTTGAGCAGTTAAATCTTTTAACAGAACTCTGTCCTGTTAACAGCTATTCTCTTCAGGGTTTGTCTCCACCAGTGACACAGTCATAACACCAGTAGCACTGCAACGGGAGTGTAAAACTCTTACTATAATAACACAGTGATGGGGGTAGAGCCCATCAAAGCACAGGTGGTAATGCACTATGTGATGCCATGGTCCTGCTCTTCTGGATTCTGCTGCTGTTTTAATCTTTCTTAGGCATGGTTTTAAAGTAATTGCTTTTGACTGCTGCTGAAAAGCTGCACTTGGGCCTTTATCTCTCAGTTTGGTCATGGAAACTCAAAGTTGGCCGCAATATATTGAACTGGTGTGTTGCCCGCATTTCACTACTTCACTTATGCTCTGAATGAGAGACAGACTTCTTCAGCTTCCACTCTTGCTTTGCACCTCCAGTGGAAGAAGGAACTATATAAAGTATAGCTATACAGAGTTGGAAAAATAAAGTGCAATTATGTTCCGCTAAGTTCACACCACTTAGCAGAGCCACCTTATGTAAAGATGGTGGGTTTAGTTCTACAGAGCTGACCAAGAGGAACCTACATACAGGCTGTCTTATAAAACTGTCAGGTGCAGGCATGGGTATACACCCCAGGCAGAAGATTAACACTGACTTCTCTTCTATCCTCAGTTTTTTCCCCCTTCTGTGATACCTGCCCACCCAACTGTCTCTCCTTTCCAAACAGCTGCACTGATAGACTGCCTGCCCCTCCTTACCACAGCAAAGGGAAGAGACAGGCAATCTGTCACTGACAGCTTGTCTACGTGACAAAGCATATGGGTACAACTAGAATGGAACTATTGTTTACATTGTTCTGTGTGCAATGAGACTAGTGTAGCCAGATTTCCTACAGATACACCTTCCTGTTCCCCTTCCCTATGGCAATTGTCCCGGCTCCTAACCAGTATCCCTTATGACATAATTTTAAAAAAAAAAATTCCTTCTCTGATGTAACTCTTTTGCTCCCTTTCCCCCCTGTCTCTTCCTCTTCCTCTTCCTCTTCCTCTTCCTCGAGGAAAAGGTCCTCTGAGATGGACAAGGGACAGCTTTTGCTTCTGCTAGTGCTAAGTGTACGTGTGCTGGTTGCTCTGCCTGGGTTGCCTGCTGGCCAGATATGCAGTGGGCTCACACTGCAGCTCTTCTCTACAGGGACCATATTCTTAATCCTTCACCTCTAACTGGCTACTAAGTGTCAGGAAAATGGTAGTTATTTAACAACCTTTACACCTCT